AACTTACATTTCTCTGTCAATCCACTGCTGGATATCGGCCTCTTAGTGTCATGCTGATCATGGGGGTTATTTGACCGGACTTCAACGCATGGGTCGGTGCGGGCAGGTTGATTTAAGGAGCCTAAGACTGGTTCAGATATCACTCACCACTGATGCTAGATGTAAGGTTTTTAGCATAGTGCGCTAACCACTACACCACCACTCCCCCCCCTTTCCCCACCACCTATATATATAAGGTGTTGCGAATAGCAGTGCTAACATCGCCGAGTTCCGCGTGCGGTATCTGGGGGCCTTGGAGAGAGTGCGAGTGGGAGACTATGGGGCTCTGCATACCCCAGCAGACATAATCAACTGCATCGACTTAGCACAGGTAATGCCTCCACCATCTGTACAGTATTCCCATGTTATTCACGAAGTTGCTATCTGCGATTTTGGCTATCCACGATTCGAATCTGGAACTCTACACGACTGCATCGAGAGAAGGAGAAAAAAAGTGATGACATCAAGTGATGAGAGAGAATGTAATGTGAGAAAGAGATGAGATAAAATTATGCAAGATATAGTGATGAGATTAATCTAAGTTCGTTGATAAAATATTCTGTAATACGTAAAAAATCATATATGTTTATTAAAACACATTTTTGTGTTATGATAATTTTAATGAATGTACAGTCTTATTTGTTTAAGGTAATTCATTAAAAATATAGGTTTTTTCGTAGGCCAATATCATCCGTGAAATTTGCTGTTCACGAACATGTCCGGAACATATCCTTCACGAATAACAAGTGAATACATGTGCATATTAATGTTCCACACAACATGAAACATGTTCTTAATATAACCCTTTGGTTGTAACAATGCTGTTTTAGGTTTGTTACACCTGAAAAAACCTACCTCTTAAGTTGTGTTTATACTGGAATCTAACAGTCCCTAGCCATGTACATAATTGACCAAATATGGGGAGTATTGGTCGGTACTTAATTTGAAATCTGTTCCTACCACCAGGTAAAATAATGGTTAAACTTACCTAACACCATATCAATTACATTTTGAACGCTCCAAATTAATCCATCCTGTTACACATGAATTACCAGTGTCATTTCCATGTAATGCACCTTGAACGAGTACAATGGCATCGGAATCAAATGGAAGCTCTGCTGTCATCAGGACAGAGCTGTTAACGAGATGTTGTATCTGTGTGGTGTATCCCGTCAGAATATTAACTACGTTAACTTTATTTTTTATTCCACTGCCAACAGCAATATGGAAAGCTTCCATTTGTTGCCTCTGAAGAAGAAGTCACTCTTCTCGTTTCAAAACATGGCATCAAAATGATTGCTGCAGATCACTTGGTGAGCAAATAGATTACATCCTCCCATTTACCGTCATGCAAATCAGAAAATGTGTCGCAACATATTTTAAAAGCACATCACCTGTATTGTTTAGGTTAATCTTTCACTCTTTTGATGTAAAAAAAAAATACGTATCAAGGTTTTATTTTTTCGTCATTACATCTATTACCGCGAGACAATTATTTGATTTACACGTTTAGATAATGCATTGCTAGAATTGTACAATAATATGCTGGGGACGCCTGCATAGGAAATCAGTGTACATCGACAAATCTGCAGTCAGTCCAGCATGCAGAGGTCCTGTGGGTTGGGACTGAAGAGCCTTGAGATTCGTGCATTTTTTCCACACTGGCTAAAGAGCTTTATGAGGCTAATGCTGTTCGAGTGTGGGCACAAGTTAAGGGAATTAGCAAGGCGAAGCTACATTTCAGGTGATTATGTATGCTTTTTTGCATCATTTGTGCCAACTGGGAAGAGAAAGCACTGGCGGTATCAAATAGTTTTCACCCTATACATTTTAAGATTTTGGCTGTGGCCCATCGTGAAAGTGAACTGCAATTTGGACCCATTTGACTGCGGTGGCCACTTGTCCATCAATTTCACGACATCTTGAGCCTGTGCACAGTTTACCCGAATTGTGCAGAGAACCGTGATGTATTTATTTGTTGTCATTTTTTTGCAGGACGTGCTCCAGCGACACCCACTCTACCTCATTGTGCTCACGGTTTGTTTTGACGACGGATTTGGCATGGGCAAGCATCTGCTCGCCCTCAAGACCGCGGAGTCACATCGCACCGAGCAGAGCCTCTGGGTTTACCAGTGCAGCAGCCTGGTACTCCCACCGACAAGGATTTTTTGCTGCCAATTACACGATGAATAGGAATAATGCACAATGCAGCCATAGACGGAACACAACACTTTTTTTTTCTACACCTGTAGTATAGCATATGCACAAAGGCGGTTTGCTGCCGTAGTATAATGGTAAGCTTCTTGGACTTGCAATCCAGCAGTCGTCGGTTCGATTTGATCTTCTGGCACAGCTACGAAAAAAAAAGTTTCTTAAATCCTCCCGCCTCCATCCACCATTAGTAAAAATGGGTACACCAAAGTTGATCGGCAAGTCATGTGTGGTGGTGAAAAGTGTGGGTACTCCTACCTGAGAAGGGCTCTCTTGCCTGTAGTGAATGCACTTCTTGCATGGGAAAGTACTGGCAAGGCTGCATATTTAACTTTATTTTTCATTTGTAAAGCCACCTGTGACTAACTCACCCAGAATCCATCCAATCTCGCCAGGCCTCGGAATTTAGATTTAAAGCTTTCGTGACTGCAGGGATTCATATTCTTGGTTCTTTCGGTAAAGTCACGTAGAAGGGAAATAATAAAAATAAAACAAAATTCTCACGACATTTCGATTGCAACACAAGCAATCATCATCAGGTGTGAAAACCACAGCAAGAACATTTTAAACATTTTCTTGCTGTGGTTTTCACACCTGATGATGATTGCTTGTGTTGCAATCGAAACGTGAGAATTTAATTGTTATTTTTATTATTTCTCTTCTACGTGACTTTACCGAAAGAACCAAGAATACAGGCCTCGGAAGTTAAGCAGAGCTGCGCCTGGATAATGCTCGGATGGGCGACTACTGTGCACAATATAGGTGCAGTAGGTGTAGTGGGTGGTCGAGGGCAGTGCAGGAAAATCCATTGTTCTGCACCCCCCCCCACTCACCAACCCACATTGACCAGCATGGGGAGACCCTCATCCAGCAGTGGATTCAACAAAATGGGCTGTACATCTACACGCACATTCACAACAGCAATTGATATTAGCCCTTGGATATTTATTGAATGTTTAATTGTATTGTTTGAAAAAGTCCGATAGCTTCAAACAAACCCTTGAAACAGCAGGCTTTGAAAAAAGCAATGGTGAGCTAAAGGTTAACATTAAATTACTACCATAATGCAACCCTTTTTTAATTGATCCATACCCGCTCTTTAACATTTTATACCAATCCTTTATTACACAAGTGCTGTCAACTTGTTTTAGCTTGTTGTTTTATCATGGCTGTCAACTAATTGCTTATTTTTCATATTTCGTGCAGGATCAAGGACAAGCTATCTGCCGTGCAATGTCATCTCTGTTTGACGTGGTCCTGGGTGCAGTGAAGTCGTGAGGACATGACAAACAAGCACACACAAAATGTTGTACCTAATCACTCGCCGTCAAGATTTTGTGAATAATGTCAACATGATCAGGATAAATTATACCGAGAATGCCGATTTGACACGGCAATTAAAATGGAAGGCACAATCTCAATGATGGTTAACTGGCCTGCAGAGGATTGTTGGATAACCCCCACCTTACAAATTGTGTGGAGGTGGTTCTTAACTGTAGCATTGTTTATGTTTAACAATCACAGAACTTGGTCAAATGTAGCACTTTCCCAAAAATATGAATGTACTGTACTGTAATACGATGGCACAATATTCACGTAAACACGTGATTGTATTCTTGTGCCATGTATAGACACGGATCGGCCAATATAAAATTTGTTTTGAATTTAGTACAATTGAACTTGACGGACATTCGATCGATTTAAGCTTTGGGATTTGAACTCGCCGCACTTTTCCAATTGTGAGTCATGCACTCGAACAATCATTGTGACCAAAAGATGTGGGGAGGCCTTTATCCAGCAGTGGATTGACAGGGCTAGATGACATATCGCCCCCCAAATAAGCAAGCCTATGGTTGTAAATGCTCATCAACAAATGGCTTGCCCAAGCGAAAGCAAGACATGATTGCTTCCGTGCTGGAGGCTAAAGCAGGGAGAACACTGGTCAATACCTAGACGACAAAATGCCATCCGGGAATGCCAGATGACGCTGGCGCATAGGAAGGCTTGCAGCCAGGGTTCTATTCATCTATATTGAGCTGCTAAAAACCCTCTCGAGCCAGAATTTTACAATACATTTGGTTTCGGGATTTTTTTTATTTTTAACTATTAGAGAGTTGCACATTGGGCAGGAATAAAAGCAGTTCCTCATAATTGGATATCTCGAATAATTGTGCAGTTTTACTTGGTTCATCCTGATAACTGATTTCATGAGTATAAATGCATATGGTTGGGAGTGTTTGGTGGATTTAATAACAGTAGTCACGAACAGCTTTGTCAATCCACTTCCGGATGAAGGCCTTCCCTGCACCATGTCGGATGTGGGATTTATTTGACACTGTATTTTACCACGGTGGTCAAGACGAGGAAGTGAAGGGGATATCCAGAACCAGTTCAAATGTCACTCGCCGATATTAGCCATGGCTGGGAATAAAACTCGACTCACCAAGTGCATTGTGCTATGAACCCTTTTTTTACATTCATATCTAACTACATTTTTTAGAAAGGGGAATTAGAAAACCAGAGCACTACATTAGTGGATAAAGTTGATGTGTATCTGCGAACCCAAAACTGTTAGTTTTTACTTTGTTCTCCAAGCTTTTGATCACGGTTCATGATTGTCTTTAAAATGTATCAATCGTTTCTTCTATCCAACCCTGTGATGTACTTGTATAAAGGAATGTATTCACAATTTGTATTATTCACATTTCATTGTTTTATACAATAATAAAAACGTATTTAAAGGAATGTTGAAAATTTCAATTAATTGCTTTATTTAAAATAGGTAAAACACAAGATATAACCAAAGAGATCAGTCGCCTTAGAACTAAAACAAACTCGCACAAGTCGCCTTTCGTACCTAAAACACTTCCAATACATCCCAGTCTTACAAAACTTAAAAACAGCTAAAATGTACAAGGATGGAACATCTACTTCTTTTTGTTTTCTTGCGATACCAACATAGAATTGTCCTTTTCTCAGTTTTAACCAAGATCTATTGCACCACGTGGCCACAATAACAGTTTCCTTATGATATCTAACTCAAGACTCCCACTTTCATTTTTCATAATTATTGCTGCATATTTCCAGAAAAAAACGTTTCAATGTTCGTTTTGACATCATGCGTCTCTCATGTGGCGTAGTGCAGTGTTAGGCTTGTTTAGCGCAAATCAAGTCATTTTTGTTTCACCGGCCAAACAATGAGAGCCAATGGTATGCGCCCGGCCCGTGTGACAAATTCACCAACACACCAGAAACAAAGTGCCGATGCAGGAAAGCTGAGTGGGGCGCTAGCATGCCCTTGAAACCCCATGGGATATACTCCATGCTATTGGAACACGGGAACGTTAGAAGCAAACGTATGAATAATGTTGACACGAAGACTAAAATAGAGACGTGTGATGTTTGGTAGGGAAAAAAACAGATCAATATTCATAGCCTCAGGGGTGAATAGCAAACCAGTGCAATAGACTTGGTAAAATATCATGCAAAAGCATTTGGCAACATCTTATTGACAAATAAACATGAAATGTGGTAGACTACGAAAAATATGTAACACGGTAGATGATTTTTTCATACAGTTTGTAAACTTTTCGTCAAGTTATTTTTTTTATTCATAAGAACGTGTAACAAGCTTGTTGCATATAGACATTAAATTCAGCAAACTTTACATTAAAGCCCATTGACAGTAACCTTGCAAATGGTGACCTCTTATTTTTGCATACCTTTGTATGCAATGAGGGCTGGTCAAAAAGTATATGGAAGGATTTTATTTAATTAAATATATATAGACGAAAACAAACGCTCTCTGAACCCCTTCAAAGTATTATTTGGTTCTTTCGGTAAAGTCACGTTGATAGAAGAAAAATCATAATTTAAAAAAATTATTTTAAAAAACCATTCATGTATATTGTGGCTCCGCCCACTTCGTTGCACCGCAGGAGCTTTTGCTCTTGTGCCACGCCCATTTTTTAAACCTTTTTCAGCGGTTGCCTTAGGTGACCATCCCCCTCTTTCCTCCCGAAGACGATCGCTTGTGTTGTGATCGAAACGTCGTGGTTTTTGTTTTTTTATTGTATTACTGAAAGAACCAAGAATAAGTCTACATTATAGACTGCCAGTACGCTCACTCAGTTTAATAACCGTTGCTACAGTCTACATTATAGAATGCCAATAAGTTCACAAAGCTAAAAAAACAGGCTACAGTCTACACTATAAGACTGCCAGTACACTCACTATTAAGAACCAGGCTACAGTCTACATTAATGTTTTAGATTTTATTTTTTATCATTTTTATTTTTAGTCACTTTATTTATATTATTATTTTTCTATCTACGTGACTTTACCGAAAGAACCAAAAAAGATGAATTCCTGCAGTCACGAAAGTTAAGTCAAATTTTAACCCTTCAAAGTACTGTCCACAAAGTCACAGGAATTAGTGGACCAATCGCACAAGCAGAACATTTAGATACGAGTTTGGCACCTTGTGGGTTATCGTGGAGAGTGAGCAACAATGCAACATCAAATTTCCTGTTAAATTTGGCAAGCCTGCCCCTCTGAAACGCTCCCCATGTTACAACAACTTATCCAGATTGCAATATACTCACTTTGAACGGAACTATTTTAAAAGATGAGGAACTTAATGCAAATGTGATTAGGCAAATGAGAGACTTCAGCTGTAGACTAAGGAGTGGTTCCAAAAGCTGTGTAATTGCTGGCACAAGATGCATCGATGGCAGAATAAGATTGCTTTGAAGGGGGCATTCGAAATTCATCGCTTAACTATATTAGATGTAACAGCATAATTCCATAATCCTTTTGACCAGTCATTGAACATCAGTGCATATTTGTAATGTATGTGCAATTTGTGTGTGTATATACTGGATGTCAAAGACAAAAGAGATTCCCATGTTAGTCTGATGAACTCTCGTTGGCAAGTGCTGTTCGCAAGGAACAATTTTGGAATGTTTCCCCAATGGTGTTCTGCATGTCTACAACGATTCAAACACAGGTCACCAGGATTGTAATAGAGCATGGCAACTACTGCACCCTGCCCTCAACCCTTCCCCCTACACGTAATGAGGGCATACATATCTACACAAAGCCCGGTCATCAGGATTAATATATGCAGCATGCCAACCCACTGCGCTGTGCCCTCCATCTTTAAAAAAAGGAGATGGAATTCAGACCGACAGTTTACGAAATCCTTAAAAAGGCATATTCCAGTTCTTGCTAAGAACTGCACACCGCGAGTGGCATTAGGCCTTGACTAGTTCAACTGAACACTGGCGCACAATAAGGACCAAAGACCAGCTAAGAGCCACATTGTATCTTTGGCTAAAATGAGAATCTTTGCCTTTACGTTTTACAATTATACATGCATATGTATACACTAGGTGTGTACGGTATATATATGTGTGGGTATGCTTGTGGCCTCAAGGTGCACATGGCCTGGCACAAGCGTCATGGTGACGTCACCACCACTTAGTGGCAAATGGCGGTTGTTGTTGTTGTACACATAAATGTATGTACACACATTTATTATAAATTAGATATTTCCTTTTACGGAGACCCCGGGACTCCTTTGTAAAAAAAAAACTAAATATCTCAATGCCCTTACCTGGTTCACCAAGAGATAAAAGACGCACAATGAATACCAAGCAACACCAATGGCTACGTTCAATGCTATCGCTATCATAAATTATTTTCTTTGTTTAATACATAAATGGACCTCAGAGTCGAGTGGTCAAGCCAAACTGTTGTTGTTTACAATTGGTTTAACACGCGGTAAGCTTTCGCGATCAATATCATCCACAATAGAGTTTTTTTTGGGATAGATCGCGTAAATATATAAAAGCGTCGTTAACCCCGCCACCACCCGAAACGGCCAATTAGTAAGGTTCGTCACGAAAACAGAACATGCGAATGCGTTAGTAGTACAGCACACCGGTGTGTTGGAGAGCAAAGCCACAACATTTATGAATCCCCCCTCCGCCCACTTCGTGCAAGAAGGGCACACAAGTGACATCACATCTGCACCTCTTTTTACGGAACGAAACGGGAGGATTTCCCACAAATCTGGCTGCTGCCGGATGACGCTAGTTATAATTTACCGGTGAAACGTCGTACTCAGATTGTAAATGTTGTAGCTTTGCTCTCCAACACACCGGTGTGCCGTACTACGAATTGGCATGTTCTGTTTTACGTGACAAACCTCACTAATTAGCTATGTCAGGTGGTGGTGGGTTTAACGACACTTTTCTATATTTACGTGATCTAACCCAAAACAAACTATTATGGATTATGTACACTTGTAAACAAATACTGTGCTGCGGATGCATAAGAAGCCTTGCCTGCATTTAAAACCAACAAGGCGAGTTCCATCATATTAAAAAAAATAACTACGGAAACTAAAATTCCCAGCTTATTTCTAACATAAAGGTCAAGACTAACGTTCATAACAATAAGTGCAAAGGCTTTCCAATATTTTCCTTCAATTCATAATTAAAAAATAAGTGCAAGTACTTGGCAGAGTAACCAACCGAACAAGTGTGGTTCGCAACTCGCATTCCACGTGACACACATGGGTACATCGTTACAAATCCCTGATGCTTTCATTTTTCTTAAGGCAGACACTCATCTGGGAATACTTGTGACTCGTACATGAAAGCCAGTTGCACAAGTGATTTAGTATTGTTTTATGCCTCCAAAACACCAACCAAGTTTCAGCTGAAACAAGTGTAACATTTTCATAATCCTCACTTGGGTAAAAGGCTTTGTACCGTTAGGAAAATTCCCCTATGGTTACTTTCATCCACAAGGGAAACAAATTGATTTTGAGCTGAACAAAAAAAACTACAAAAACAGAGATGCCAAGAGTTCGGAATGATGACAAAATCCTGAGTGCACTAAGTTACTCCGCATTTCCTTGTAAGCGATACGGCGTCTTGGAATTGTAACAAACACCAAAGTGCCTACATTCTGGCAAAGAGGCAGGCTCAATCGGTCAGTTGCTCGATGAAGGAAACCGGGAAGGCGCCACGTCTCGCCGGAACGCCCTCGACGTAGCCGGACTGCGGAAGAGAAAATAACAATAATAATGATTCAAACTTATAAGGCACACCTTTAGCAATGGTCTTTAGAGTGTCAGGCATATAAAGGGAGGAAAAGCAAGTGAGAAGTAACCATGGAGACAAAGAGAGAAGGTGGAGAGTTCTTCAGCCAAGACTTAAAATCTCCATCGCCTGCGAGTTCCTGACTTCCCAGGACGGAATTCTAGAGCCTGGACACCGTGCGGACAAAAGCTCTGGTGGTCAGACCCAGGTTCGAAGCCTGCGTGGTCACGCTGAGTAGGGCACGATCGGTAAATCTCAGGGATCTCAGTGGAGTGTGTTGTTGGTTAGTGGAGTGTGTGGCTGGTGAGTGGAGTGTATGGCTGGATAGCAGAGTGTGTGGCTGGTTAGTGGCGTGTGTGCGGTTGAATCACCTCCTGGATATACGGTGGAGCAAGCCCATTTAATAGCCATGTTTGAACACAATAATTATAATCTTAAACTCATTGTGGATTTGAACTGGAAGTCAATGCATAGAAATAAGCACAGCTGTGAGTTATGGTCCCAAAGAGGAGTGCAGGTGATCACCCCTGCAGCCGCATATTGGACAGGCTGCAGTCGGTAACACTAAAATAAGCGTCACACGATATTCAAAGACTGGGTATGCAGTATTACACAATGCAATGCATGTTTGTAGAGCTGGGCTATCTGATTATTAAAGGGGAAAAAATACTCCTACTGATTATCAATTCAATTACAAGACCAATTGGACAATCCAAATACACATGGAACAAAATGTCTCCCCTCTGTTCCAAGGTGTGCCATTGGATGAGAGGTGATGGGCAGGGCTTGGAGACATAGGCATCATCTTCCACATCACGCTGAGTGTGACTTGTAGGGTCTCGGGTAATCGATGGAAATGATTAATCATCCCAGCTTAACAACTTATACTTTTTTCAAAGCATACAAATGTGACTGCATTTTGAGTCACTGCAGAAAATAGGAGAAACATGCTCATATGCAGAGTTTCAAGAGGGATACTATTTTATAAGTTCAGGGAACGATTGGAAGAATTGTATATGGCAGAGGGAAATGAGAGGTGCGGATGACAACACTTTGTAGAGTGGAACAGTCTAGAGCCTGAACTTGAATACATGGAGGTGCTCAGGAGTGTGGGCAGCCACGCAAAGGTAATTCCAGACATTGAGAACAGCAACTGAGAAACAGTGACTACACAACAGAAAGCAGTGACCACTAGAAAAATAAAAACATCAGCCAGTCTACATCAGAACTGAGCCAATCAGCAACACCAGCAGTAGCCGGCAATGCTACGTAATCGAGCGACAGAGTGAGCAGCTTAATTCAGTTCCTGATGAAGCCCCCACCACATGGAGCGAAAGGACATCATGCCCAACAACATGCAGAAAAAAAACCGAAAACCCATCGGAGAGCTACAGAGCACAACTGCCAAAACCACATGCAATGGTAGAGACAGCACTACACCAAACACCACGGAATGGTAGCAATGAATGATGGAACCAGCAGACAAATTTTGTTGCGTCAGGGGCTTGATACTGGCAGACACACTGCCTCCTCCTCGTCCAGCATGAACACGCATTTCCGCTTAGCACATCCATGCCAAGAACTAGCATGGATGTATGAATTCTAAATAGGTAATTTCTGAACAAACAGCCATATTTAATAATAAGCTACGGCTGGATGAATGTCTCTTCATGCCATGGCAGTGATGGGGGTTGTACGGCCATACTTCTCCATGCTGATAAGAGGCGGGTTGGTAAAAGTGGGAGCCAGAACCAGGACTGGTTCTGACACCATCCGTCACTGTTGTTAGCTATGGCTGGGAATCAGATTAATGTCGCTGGGTTGACGGCAACATTTCTGCCCTCTGCAGTTACTCGAATTCAATAAGAATCGGACCAAATGCAAATATCTCAAAAAATATTCTCCAATTAAAATAGAAGAAAACATGCACGCAAGTAATTTTACACTACTAAAGCATCACGTTCTTTGTTCTTCCCGGCCATGCCATTGATTTCATGGTTCAAATATTAGGATGCTGCTAACACATCAAAGCAAATAACCAATTACAGTGTCACTGGAGTGCTTTTTAAATTCAATTCCACTGCTGTTACAGAGACAGAGTACGACTTGCTGACACAGAACTTTATTTCAAGATTCAAGTGCATGGATACGCGCTCGAGCTACGCTAAACTGGATATTTCTGGAAATAAAATCTGACGAGAGGATTATGCAGGCAATGGCATAGATGACATACAAGCATGTGGTAATTCATGTTGTTCTACTGGTTGCGAAGATGTGGCCAAATATGGATGGTTTGCATGGGATGCTGCCGTGTTATAACGGTTAGCACACTGCACTTCCAATCCTGGGGCTCGGTGGTTCGATCTTCTGAATGGCAGCGGAAACAATGGGCAGGTTTCTTAAATTCCCCCGCCTTTGTCCACCTGGCAGAATAAATGGGTACTCCATACACAAATTAGTCGATTCGCAGGTCACGTGTCCTTGGGTAAAGTGTGGGCACTCCCGCAACTTCTGAAAGTTTTATTATAGCAGGTTAAGCAGCAGAGCTATAAAACTCTTCTTCAGAAGTGACCTGGCCACAAATGATAGCTCAACGAACTGGCTTATCATGTGGAAATGTATAGTGGCCAAATACTCCAAATGCATGTTTCTAAATGTAGAGGGAATAACCAGAAGACCCGGAAAAAAATCCACACGACCACGTGGAGAACATGGAAACTCCAAATATACAGACGTCAGTGTTGAGATCGAACCCACGACCTTCTGCATACCAGGCGAGCTCGTTAACATTTCTTTACTGTGGCGTGAGCGACTTACCCACCACTCGTCGTCATCCTCCCGTTCAACCACGATGATGTCTCCTTTCATAAAAGTGAGTTCGTCTTTTTGGTCCGCCTGGCAGTCATATTTGGCCTTGACCCGTTTAATCTTCGGCTTCATCTGTCATCCCACCAGGGCAAAGGGAATTCACAAAATTAACCACCAACATATCATGTAACCTTGCTTTTGCTGTGCAACCCCTAAGCTTAAACGAGACCCAGTAGAAGCCACATCTCTCAACCATTTGCCACCAATTTATATTTCCTGTCTCAGGAGTCTTTATAATTCCCTTATTCATTTGCCAACTTCCGTATTATGTACGGAAAGTTGCACAAATCAAAAATTTGATTTATGATGTGGCAAAACATGCATATTATTTTGTCGACATTAGTCTTGTTTAATTTCACACAGTGCATAAGCAAACTGATTTCGGGGATGTGATGGATAGTCTCTTACCAAAGGTGGCTTTCTGGGCAGAGGCACCGGGGGACGATGCGGCATTTCCTGTGGCTTTGGAGGCAAAGGCGGATGAGGCCTGGGCCGGGAAATTGGTTCCCGTGAGACTTTAGACCCATCCACCAGCCCACTCTCCACAGCTGCACAGACAACCATGACGAAAGCACGTTGGAACGGCGAGACCAGAAATCACCACAGCCGGCAACGAATGTGTTACATGAGCCGAGCAGGTAAAACCTCACAATATCCAATTACATATGCTAAAAGTCCAGACCTGGAATTTCTTACTCACACTACTGCTAGAGGAAGGACCACTGCCAGAGGAAGCAGAGAGCTTCTCGAGCGGATATTTTGGTCTACTCTTGCATGCTAACCAGACATCTTGGCAAGGTGGGTGAGCCCACACTTTACCCCGCCCCATGCTACCTAACGATCGACCGCTGGGTAGCCATTTACGCTGCTGGGTAGACAAGAGGCGGGCGGGGGAGGGGGAGGTTTAGGAAACCTTCACCATTGCTTCGACTGCCGCGCCACTGGAAAACTTCACGCAGGGACAAAATGTGTAGCATGGGAATGGCACGAGCACAATACTGGCCACATTTGCACATGTCAGAAGGCGTGGAATTTTAGTGAAAATACTGCTGGGGGATGGTGGTCTATAATTTAGTTGTAATGCAAGCGCCAGCCAGAGGAATGTGTGGAAGGTACACATAGCAGTTTAACGGAGGAGCTTGGATTATGAGAATGAAATCAAACTCTCAAAAGGTAGTAAATTCCAATTGCTGGTTAACACTGAAACACACTCCGTGAGGAGGTAATCCCGTGGAAGTCATTAAAGTCTTAAAGTTTACCCTGCCCACAAAGAACATGTAATTATATTACATTTTGTGATTCAGTTTTTATAGCCGTGACTATGTCTCCATATGCCGTTTAATTGTGTATTGCATTAAACGTAGGCTTTTGCTGTTCTTGTGGTAGTTGTGCTCAACCGACAGCGAACGATGCTCTATAAGCGTAGCCGCTCCGCTCTCTCAGCACAGAAATCAATGGCTCAACGAACCGCAGTTGTCTGGAGGGCTCGGGGGAGCAGGACGGGGTCTTTGTGTAGAAGGTCTCCGTGCCAAAGCTGCATTCTCCACACTGAAAGGTGCGCACGCAACACAAGACATGCTAATTGTCCAGCGGCATCACTGTAGAGTCCATGAAAGAGTCATGTGACCTTGGCTCCATCATTCATGACAAGCTGGGGATAAACGCGAATACAATATTTTTTGCATTAACAGAATTGTACCTCCTCCACTTTCTAAATTCCTACTCATTGTCTAAAATAAGTGCACACGTCTTTTTTAAATAGGGAAGAAAATACACACGCATACACATATATTGCACATTTTTGCATACTGGACAAATTAAGAGTTTGGTATGTCATATACCACAGCAGTTTATGTCCTTGTGGTTGTACTTTTGATTCTCGCTCATGGCCGACAAAAGTCACGATTACCTGAACGAGTCCTGGGCCTCCCCTACGTCAACTCGGCCTCAAATGAGTACCTGGTGCACTGTGTAAACATCGTCACTGGGGAGACAAAGGTGCCCGAGCGTGGTGCTGGCCACCCACCCCACCCCCCCCTCGTGTACAGTGCCGGTCTTCATAGGTGCTCACTCACAGAACTAAAGGGAAATATTTGTATTGTCTTGAACATTCATGCTAATTAATTTGAAATTTGAACTTAAATGCAGCTGCTTGCATTCAAGTTATAAACACTAATAGCCTGTACTGCATCCAATTTTATCCTAGTTACAATAAAAATGAAAATCATTAGTTTCTTATGTGAAACATTGCCTTTTCAAATTAATCAAAATTAACGAACTGAAAAAAATAAATTTGAATCAGTTTTCCAAATAAGTCATGTATAAAAGCTAGCAAAATTATTGCAGATGTTTAACATTTCTTTGAATAACATCATTATTGGGCTTCATCAATACCCTATTGTCAACAGTTTAATATTTAGCCATTATATTCCTGCATTATAACTGCAAGCCATGTGAGCCAGTTAGTCGACCATGGTTTATTTCATATAAATATATGCAAGATTTATGTTTAACCCCAACAAAACATAATGAGCATGCTTTTATGCACCCTGTTATTGCCGTGAAAATGCACCCTCTGCTGTTGAGAGATTTCTGGTAAGGTTGTTTTCTTAAACAATGACAAAATCACGGTACCAATTTCATTTTTTTTTTTACCTTTCTTGCAATCCTGCCGGAAGATTCTTTGTTTGTGGGAATGATTTCCTGCCGCTCTCTGTGGAGAGAAATTTATATCGAGTCGTAAAAAAAAATTCACAGATTTTTGCCGATTACTTCTATGTAATTTTCCAAGTCATCTTGACCTTCAGGAAAAGATACAACATTATAAACGGCATCTTTAGTCTTGCACAAAACAACGCAACTTCTACAATTAAATATCACAACACCGTGCATCTGTTAAAGAGTCACGCCATCTCTTCGGCTGCTAAAAAAAAAAAAATCTAGAAAAGTGGACTTCTTGCTGGGCATAATCTTTACCTCTTCTCTATTGGGAATATATCTTTTTTTCAAACATCATTCTGCCTACCACCTTCATAATTTAAGCACAGCATGTCCGCACATAACTGTGTTTTACCTCTGCTTATCCCCTCTACCTATGAATGAACCGCCATCACACCTGCACAGCATTTACAGTGGCACCGCCATCATTGCGTCCACAATGCGAAAGCAAAAAATTGTACATACTCTCCGCCCCACTTACTGGACAGTACGGGAGAGATGTGGGGAAGAGGAGGAATGGGAGGTGGGGTGCTGTTTCTCAGCTGGCTGGGGCCAAAGGGCTCGGAGTGCGTCCGCTTGTGCAGTGGCCTGTTTGGAGGTGGCGGCGGGGGCTTGCGCCTGCCGCCAGCGCCGTCCGCCAAGCCCAGAGACGCTGCCGAAAACACAAGAGGCGGAAGGGGGTCGTGAGTTGAAAACACTCGTCGTTTATCATTTCAAAGCACGCCCCCTCCCCAGTGCACAACGCACATGGTTCAGAGGTCAGCGTTTATTTTATTTTTTTGCAGCCAAATCAGTCCTCCGGTAGAATGTTACGATTGAGTTTGCTCACACAGTGAATAGTTTAAATGACCCTATGGTTATGAAAAATATATGTCACAAGGGGCATTGCTCAAATGGCCAATGCCTATTTGAGCAATGCACCTTTTGACCTGTGGTGGAAATTCCTTATTCCCATGGCAGGTGCGACTCTATCAGTGCCTGTGGTGGAAATTTCTTATTCCCATGGCAAGTGTGAGTCTCTCCAAGAGACAACCATTGTTGACTTACCCACAAAGCCATTCCCATTCTATCCACCCTGGAGGGATAATGATGACGATGATGGGCTAAGTCAACCCTGAACCAAGATTTGAATTCACAACCTTCCAATTGCAAGCCACTCCCTCTATGGCTTAGCCACCTGGCTGGCGATAACAAATGTTTAATTATATTTAACAAAATCAGTTTTACATTGCGTAGTAGCCGCGACCATGGTGAATGGGGACCCGTAAAAAATTAATGAGATTGCAGTTCACACCGCAATTATGTCCTAAACAAAGTAATATTTAAAAATGTAGACGTATCATAATACTGAGTACTGGACTGAGGTGTAACAAGTGTGATACCAAATCAATAATAAAACCTAATACTGTAAAGAAAATGTAATGACTGCACTTATAAGCAAAATTATACTGTTGTGATCTTTGCCTGAGTGTTGGGTTTTTTGTTCATTGCTAAAGGTGTGGTTTTAAGATATTTATTTTAAAAAATAGATATTTTTTTTTCTTATTTTATTTTTTTATATATATAATTCAAAAAGCATCCGAGGCAAGAAATTGCAAAGGATAGTTTCTGGTATAAGAGCCATGGTTTTTCATATTCTCTCCATGCTTTGAAGGATCACAGGTCAAAGCATAAGCCAATTAAATAGTTCAGTTTACAAGGCAGCGCTGCTAATGGCAATGGTGATAAAATGTAATTGGCAACATGTGCAGTCTCGAATCTGCCTCAGTAGGGTTCACAGGTGTTACTAATGATTAATGGAAAAGTAAATTTTGTAATTTTTCTTAATGAACTCCTGGTGGCACCACCTTTTCATATAAAAACACAAAACAGTACATGACCTTGGCAAACATACTGTGATACTAAATGCAATTTAACAATGCACTTTTAAAGTGAGGCCCAACACGTTTTTGGTCTCAATATGTTTTTAGTTTTCTGTTTCGATGAGGTTTTCTCACCATTTACAGATTGGATCTCTGGGTTGAATTGCATAGCGCTCCGAACCCATGCTGCGTTTGAACTGATGCTGCGTTTCAGCTGCCACCTTGTGGTGGCTGTGTTGAAGTGAATGTTGACCGTCGGACACGTCAATGCAAGTGGAGATATTTCAAAGCTTTTAGTAGCGTTGCATGTATGTATGTTGTAACTTCCTTCGCACCGTACCTAAACCAACTGATAATCGAAAGTGCCATCATATGGAAACACGTTGATATGCCTTAAGAAGAAAGATCCATGCTCATCGTATAATCCGCTTTGCAAAATACTGATATGTTGTGAATTATCAGTGCTCGTTTAAATTATTTTATCTCCTGACAAGATTTTTTTGAAACTCAATAATAAAGTTCTACGTAGCTATTACCCATTAAATTAGCATTTTAAAAATGTGCTTTGGAGTAATTGGTTCCATGACATGATAATTTACGCAATATCCTCGTTATTTATTTATTTTGAGTGTAACTGGGAGCATGTGTGCTTGACTAAACTTTTTATAATGTAACAATTAAAAGGACCTAAGGTAGGCCTAAGTTGAAAGAAATGTAGCTGAATAACTTTTGCTTGACCTCTTTATTTTATTTGTACTGGAAGTGCAAAAAAGCTATATGACCCTGACATGGTGCTCAGCACTGCTTTTGTGTTTAGTTTGTGGTCCTTCCCCCACACCTCTGATTAGCAGTTGGCTACGTACGGTGCAAAAGAAGTTCAACATACATACATAAAATCGTGAAAATGTACATGTTATCACATCGTATCATGAAAAATTATATCACGGCAACATGCCACGTCAGTCACTTGAACACCTGGTACTCGTAAATTGAATAAATTAACCTGATGGCGGGGCCCCGGGGTCCCATAAGCCCCCGGTTCTCGCATAAACTGCGTTGTGACGTCATTTTATGTCTGTTGAAGGCGAACGACACGGCAATCTATTCCTCTCGACGAGCTCTACACGATGCGCATAACAAATTTTAATAGTTTTGTTTCTTCTGCGCATTCGTCCTCGCCGCGCTTGGACGACACGACAACAGAATGATCCGGCGGGTCGTGGCGTTGATGCGCGCGGTGGGACGGAGTCGCCAAATATAAATTAATTCATTACGATTTTGACTTCGGTTTATTCGGGACCCCGGGGGTCCCGCCATGAGGTTCAAATGCAAAACGTTCTTAGGTAAGGATATTGATGGACATGATAAACAACTGCATTATTGAATACATTTGGCACTCAGTAAATAGGCTTGAAGTCACGTGTGAGTATGTAACCGTCACCATAATGGGCAATGACAATTCAGATGTCACTCTCCACGGAGGTTAGCCATGGCCAGGAATCAAACTTAAGTCACCGCCTTGACAGCACAGTGGACTAACTACTGTGCCACCAATTTCGCTCTGGCTGTTTATCCATGCGTCAAATACAGCGTGTTTTAAAAAGATGGACCCAATTTCAAAGCAGTATATTTCACGATGGCAACATGTTACAATAACACAAAAAGTTACAAACGGTTAAATGGGTTATCAAGTTTTTCTAACCATTTTATAAATACTCTATGTGCCCTCCACCTGCTCTACGGAGTACATCGAGACGATAGTTTAATTCGTCCCAAACGCCTCTCAAAGTGTCTTCTTCCACTGAAGTCACCGCTGCCGTGATTCTGTTTTTGAGGTCATCCAGATTAGTCGCTAATGGTAGCACAAAAACACCACGGTCTTTGACGTATCCTCACAGGAAAAAGTCGCAGGGTGTGGCGATGTCTGGGGATCTTGGGGGCCAAGAGTGTAGCGCCAAGTCTTGGGGCACCGTGCAACCTATCCAACGTTGAGGCAGTGCGTCAAGCGAATTACTGTTTGTGCGCTGGGAGAAGCATCTTGTGGTAATCATTTGAAACTCTACGCCCCGCCCTCTCAAGTGGTAAGAGTTTCATTCATGGGCGGTTCGTGGTTGCAGAGATATAGCGATTTCAAATCGGGTCCATCTTTTGAAACACCCTGTATATTAAATAATGTGGATGGTTAACATGTTCATGAAGATGCTTACCTGACCAAATATGTCACTTATTCAAGTGCTCACATCACGTAACAGACACAAACCACAAAGGGCACTGTTTGGTATGGTGTCAGGAAGGGCACCAACACATTATTCGTCTCTTGTGTAACAAGGCTGTCTCCAAACAGCAGCCCTGCAGTGTCAGAGGGCTAGACGGCATTCATTCATCGGAGGGTGAGAGCTAGAGCAGAATGCACGGTATTTCTGTTTAAGTTGTCATTTGCGTTTAAAGTTTGTTTAACATCAGTGGTGGTACTAACCAATTGGGGATCCTAAGCATACAGTATTTGTGCCCCACCCCCGTTTAAATTTAGAAGATGCTATAGATGATGGAAGAGATATAGACAAGAGATAGAGACAGTGAGATAACAGAAATGTAGACAAAAACAGGCATGCAGTGAGATGAGAAAAGAGATGCAGACATGATAGAGATGAGAGATTAATTTGGTGCATGTCAATTACGATAAAAAAATAAAAACGTTGATTAGCATTTTATTTTGAGCTAATATTTGATGCACTAATTTATTTCATGAATTTAGGAACCCCTAGACTGATTGGCGCTCTCGATGCATTTGCTTGCTTCGCTTTGGCTGAGTGCCGTCGCTTTTTAACACCGACTGCCGTTGTGCCCCCACCACTTTGGTTCAGAATCAGAATCTTTATGTAGACTGGAGGACTCCGATGAGCTACGAAGCCCTTTTTCACACATGTCCAGTTTGTGCTCGTCTCGCCCCCCCCCAGCCCCAACCCCCTCGCCACTTCCAACGAGGTCACGCTCCGTGGCTGCCAAAGAGTAACACCGTGAGAGTGCGGAGAAAAATTTTCTGTCGCGAGTAAGCAAGCAATATTGAAGCGAGCCGGCGAGGCCTGCCCGGGGAACGCCGTGCCTTTACCCATCGCTACTTTGCTCGAGCCCCCCGGCGAGGACGGCGTGGGGCCGTCGGCGACACGGCCCGCTGCGAGGGCTGCGGGGGCGGCCGTGGTGCTCACGTCCTGAGCGCTGTATCCGGCAGGCAGGGTCAGCCTCCTCTTGGCAGCCTTCTGGCTCTCGTGCTCGGAGCTCACTTGGGACGCCCTTGTGATGCAGCTGGTGGGTCGGGTGTTTCGGGCGGGCTGGAGAAACGCAATAAACAAACAAAACGGAGAGACCGCCGCGGCGGAATGAACGTCCCGTCGTCGATGGTCCGTCTCCCTCGTGCCGCGTGTCGTCGTTCGGGTATGGCGTCCCCAACGCTTCGCTCCCACGTGGCGCTTCGGGGAAAGTAAATGGCGAAGCGTTCGGCCCAGCGCAGCGAATCGTCAGGACATCGCGCTGGACAACGCCGCGGCACGACCGGCAAACGCACGCCGGAGAGCTATGCAGACAGACCTACACAGTCTGTCTTTAATATAAAGGGAGTAATGGATTCAGAATGAGATATGCAATGGCCCAGGAACTACGTGCTTGATATTATACACTTGCGGCAGTCAAATCGCCTGATTAATAAATAATACACTTTTCAATTAAATCACCCAAAACGCAATATCATACATTATATGAAAGCGCATAAAGAGAAGTCATACACTATAAAACAAACTCTACATATTTTAAATGTTACAAACTACACATGCAGCATTTAACAGACCCAAAGTCATTTTTACGTGAAATAATATTGGGATTTTAATAATAATCAATGTTAATAATAAAAAAGTATGTACAACCCTATGTAGGTATCCCCATTCTGTGCCAGTTATGGAGGCTACTTTGACTACGCTTCTTCACCTTGAGGGTTGGTGAAGAGGGGAGGTCTAAAATCAGTTCATACATCACATGCCACTAGACGTTAGCTATAGCAGTAAAGTGAACTCAGGCCAGTGGGTGTATAACACGATGCGGTAACCACTGTGCCAATGCTGTAGCATGTTCAATATAAGATCTAGTACTCAGCAAAGATGGATTGTTGTAGGCCTTGGCAGCATCCACAGTCATTAAAAATAGGTTCTCCTTTCGGGGTGTCCACCACGCCGTGCAGAGAAAACTTCTCCAAATGGTTCCAAACCCCCACAACCGACTTACACCTATTATGGTTTGGAGGACTCAAGGCAAGATCAAGTTCTAGAATGAAGCTTTCGTGACTGCAAGGATCCATACTCTTTGGTTCTATTCGGTAAAGTCACGCAAAAAACAGCAAAAAATAAAAAAGAAATTATTTATTATTTTTTTATACATTTTTCTTTTTTGTTGTTTTTTACGTGACTTTACCGAATAGAACCAAGATCAAGTTATATACGAGGCACAAAAGACACGTATATTGACATGTAGATATACTCCAGAGCAGCCCGTGCTGCAGATAATGTGACGTAACAGCGGTATTCGATTGACTGAAATGTAATGCTAGAAAAAAAGGTGTTTTTAAACGCTTTCTTTTAACTCACTCTACCTGTTGTTGTCGTTTTTGTATGCTCAAATCTTGTAACTCAATTTTTTTCCCACTTCCCAATGTGGTATCGACTGCAAACTTGGTATACTCATGTCATACTCATGACAATACCATATTCCATCATAAAAAAAATATATTTTTAAACATTATTTTGTATGTTATGTTTCGGCTTGGGTCTAATTGTCCACTGTCAACTGACGTTGGCTGTAAATCACCACGGCCCCCTTACGTTATGGCAAGCTTCGGGGCCACTTCCTGGAGTCGTGGAGTTCTGCCATTACTAGTACATTTCATAAAAGCGTGTTTTTAAAAAAAGTTTTTTAAAAATATAACTTATTACACATTTCTTTTAAACAACGACGGACGAAAATCTTCAAGAGTCACGATGGAGGCAACTTCCCGCCGCAGATCAAAGCGTGGCTATGACGAGACGAAAATTAACGAGTCTGAATGAAGGAAGAGACGGAGATCATTCAAAACATTACTCCGAGGCCGAAGGGCACTGAGAAAGGTTACAAATGTTAATTGGTTACGTATGTATATACAGATAGTCCCCGAGTAGCGATGGTCCGACTTACGATATTTCGGTCTTACGATGGCGATAGCGATGCGACAAAATTCAATGCGTGTATGATACGTAGCTTTAGCGATTTCATTTTTGGGTTACCACGATACGATGCGTTCAATGCATGTGTAAAGTTTTTTTTTTATAGCAGATAGAATTGTTTCCTGAAAAAACTTTCTATTAAATTGCAGTTCATATAGGTAGGCTAAGAATTTACCTTGTTTTGTACTTAACATTTTACTGTGTAAAATACAGTATTGTAATAAATACATACAGTATATAGTTTATACAGTACGGTACTGTCAATTGCTCTGTTTTGCTCAATTATCACCATTCTTTAAGGCTAGGCCATCTTCGACTTACGAAATTTTTGACTTACGATGGGGGTCGTCGTAACGCATCTCCATCATAAGTTGAGGACTACCTGTAATCAAATGACTGGGCAGCCCTGATTTGCTGACCTCATAATATTAATGTGGGGGGAGGGGGCGAATTTGCACGCCCCTCACACCAACATTCAACAATGAAGGGTGGACTACATTTTTAACCGCTTTCGTCAACTAGACCATGAGAATGAAGGAACACACACACAATGCCTTCGCTGAAATTCTACAAGTTGTGGTCAATTAGACGAAGACGAATAAAATAAACATAAAATATGCCAACTAAATTACCGCCGCGTAACACTCACAAGCTTCACCCCACGTGACCTTCACCAGCCAAGTTCACCTGACACTACTCAGCAGTGACCGCTGAAATCAGCAGACAGCACTCGACTTAGTAATTGGCTATGTGTGTATATGAAAAATCTTAACTTGGCGTCACTGATATGTGCGTGTAAGTTTCAGTCACCGCTCCACTGCGTAGTGACTTGCTGAGTGTTGGTTGCTTATTGTCTGGTGAGCGTCTAGGGAGGAGGCAAAGCTCAGGGGTGAAAATATATTTTATTCCGGGAGCTGCACTCACAGCTGAGCTCTGTTACCTTCTCATCGAGTTCGTCTTCGCTCTCACAAAGGTCATCCTTGTCGAGCTTCCAGTTGTACTCGACGGGCGTGCGAGGGTTGAACAAGCCCTTCTCCGCCAGGGTGAGCTGCACACAGAAAGGGGGCCATCTTGGATTAATAATGACAATACAGTAATGATAAATGATTACATTTGATAGGGATGCTGCCATGGCTTAATGGTTAGCACACTCGACTTGCAACCCACACAGCAGCTGAAATAATGGGCAATTTTCTGAAATTGCATGCACAGACACAACTAAACGTATCATCACCGGTCACCATCCCAGCGCGGATTTTAAAAAAACGCCAGTCCACCCGAGCACATTCGACACCGTGCTGTTTCATGAACATTTCTCCCCTTGTCGAGAAAGACGGACAAATAATTTCCATCTCTATCACAGTCCAAAGTGGTCGATATACTAAGCCCAAAATAAAATGCTACTTCACTACAACCTTTGAAGTCTCTGAAATGTACGTCAGAATTTGTGGAACGGCCCTTGTACAGGGTCATATAAAAACTATTGAGTAATGGTCTCTGTCCAACTTTATTTTATTTTATTATGTTTTATTTTTATTATTTCCCTTCTACGTGACTTTACCGAAAGAACCAAGAATATGAAAATAACCACAGTCAACACTGCTTGCTTTTGTACAAATGGCAAGTATAAACTTCCTGAGCAGATGCAGTCAAGACCACGTGTTGGGAGTAATGAGTTGGTGGTTTTAGGGTTTGAGGTATTTGTACCAGGCTTCTATGATTCTGCTCATTACGGTTAATGGATCGCAATCAAGGAAAGTGCTAATTAAGCGTTGACATAAGATGATGCAGAGGCACTGAACGTCTCACTGGAATTTGTGAAACTAAACACAATATAATTACCAGGTCTTCACACTGTGCGTGATCCATTTGTTTGGCAATGTCCAGGGCAGTTTCTCCAGCTTCATTTGCTTTAAGATAACAAAGAAATAAAGCAATTAGGAAAAAAACAATGATACAGTTTTTTTTTAATATCCAGGAAAGTTTCGCTGAATCTCAAGACTCTTTTCAGGAGGTTCCTGTATGAGTATATCTGACCAATAGTTTGGCATTTGGAAGGAGATGAGAGTAAAAGAGAAACCACTTGAATTCAAGGGGCTAGCATTAAAGCTCGGCACAGGTAGCCTAAATTCTACTTGGCTGGGCTCCCATCTCCTGGCCACATCTCATCCCCGTGGGTTGGGAAGTTTTGCAAATTTGCATGGTTCGCCAACCCTAATTTGCCAAGTGCTAGATAAAGAGGCATGTGCCAATATGCTCGGCTAAAACATTTAGATACACTAATATGTGGCGATATGTGGTGATACGAAAGTAGATTTGTTTTTCTTCAAGACTACGTCATACATCTTTCGCCACTGATGTCAACCATGGCCGGGTCTCAAATTCAGGTCGTCGAGCCCATAGAGTGGTGCACCAACCATAGTGCCCCTAATCCACCCCTCTATTCACTATGTCTGTTTAAAATTTAAAAAAAAAATTAAAACAAGAAACCACGTTGATTCTTACAGCAGTGAGAATGATGTGACAGCCGAGGAGATGTTAAGGGATGAGAGTGGACCAACCTCTGGGCGCATTACTCACACACATGGAGGGCAGCTTTGCTCCGTAGCAGAAGCTTGAGGCACTCGGTGGCATTGTACCGGCTGCAGAAATGCAGTGCAGTGTTCCCGTTCTCCGTCTGCTTGTTCACATTTCTACTGCGCACACGGAATTGCAGAAGCCCCTCTGAGCGACGCAAGAAGTGGCACTAGGGTGGTAAATATGCAGCAATGCTCGATGCCAATTGACAATCGTAACAATAGCACGTGTTTTCTTGTCTGTTCACGTGCAATTTTGTGTGCACCTTTCAAGAAAAAAAAACCTGACAAAATAAAAATGTTTTTGTACATTAGGAATTTGGGTTATATTTTATAGCATAAGGCTTTCGTGACAGTGCTATGTCTCACACACGTCTATAGTCTGCCAATAGGGGGAGACGTTGTTCCGTGGTTTTTAAAGTAGTTTTTGTTACATGCTAAATTTTACATGATGCTGCCACACGCACATGCCTACTCTTTCAAATAATGTCACGAGACATTCAATGTCCACCTTAAGCAGAGGCCACATATCTATGGTTAATAAACCCACAGTGTTATAACCGGGGCGTCCTACAGCCGACAACCGCGAACCCTTTGGAGCAAGCGGCAAATGTGGTACCACTCAGCCACGCCATGGCAACGCTCCCGACTGGTACGGGTGCCGCTTCTGGCTGGGGTTTGTATCTCAGTCACATGTTCAATGAGTGAAGCCATTCCGTACAATCATCACAAAATATTAATTTGCGTCATTGTGCCAGAGACCTATGCCAGGCTCGAACCAAGAACATTTGCAACAAGGGGCAAACGAGCGTACGCTCGCTCATGCGACGCCGTTGAAAAGGAATTCAGCATCCAAGGAGGCCGCGTTAATGTTCAGTCGTTACCAGTTGAGGATGAGGAAGTCGACAAGGTGCAGAGAGCTCCTGTCTGACTGGCGGACGGCGAAGTGCAATGCAGTCTCCCCTTTCTCCTGTTCCGTAGGAAAATAAACGTGGTTAAGGGTTACCTACTGTAAGATTAATTTACAAAGATGCAAATATTGAAAAAGAGTTATAGCTTGTAAGTTAAAATCTATATTAGGGGGATGATATTGTTCCTGAACAGTCCCCTCCATCTTCAATTAAGTCGTGGTGCTAGACCATTGGTGGCCCTAAGCAAAACATCTCTCTTGGGGTCCCACCCCCTTTCAATTCATAAAATACTAGTGAGATGACAGGAGAGAAGTTGACAAGAGAGAGAAATGTAGTGAAGCAAGGCAAATGTAGACATAAGCAATGCAGTGAGATGAGAACAGAGTTGCAAATAAATGACTGATCAGAAAGTGTAATTCACACCTCATGTTCATTTGACTTGCTAAGTTTAGTAGCATTTCAATTTGGGATGATACATCAAACATATAATTTTTTTAATTCATGAATCCAGGAAACCCCTGGGGCTCATTGTTGTTTAATGCCTCGTGCCACCACTGCAACGGTGCCACGTCAACCTGCACGTGCGCCGCGTCGAGCGGCTCCAGCAGGTCCACCCCTTCGCTGTAGACCTCGATCAGCGCAAAGATGTCCTTGGCCACGAGGGCGGCGCACAGGGCGGCCGCTTTGTCCGCGCTGGACTGCGCACTCCGCTTCGTGAACTTGCGCTCGATGTACTTGGCGGTGATGTAAGACCGCCGCTCGTTCCTGGGGAGAGCGACCGTCATTTGGACCGACGCGTTTGTGTTTAGTTTGCCGGCATTCCCGCCCGCGCGTCCGTTAGCGCGGTTGGCTAACGTACGGTGCGAAAGAAGGTCAACGTACATGCGTGCATTCGTTTGGTGGCGAGTCAGAGATACGTTCAAATGCGAATTGAAAGGTTGATGTAACAGAAGCGCTTACATGTCGCTGTCGGCTGTTGGTTTGATATCACAGTCGGTCGGCAGGTTGCTCTCGAGAATTTCATTAAACCTGTAGTTGCCCACATTTCTAGCCAGCTGGGGGGGAAAAAATGACAATACATCGTGATGAATGTTGTAATATGACACAATTAAATGTATGCTTCGTGGAAATGAAATAATTAATATACGAATTCGATCTGTTTAGAAGTTAGAGAGATTTACAAAAACATGAGGAAAGTAAAATGCAAAGGTCAACACGTTGGGTCCAATGTTCTTTCATTGCAACGTGACAGTATCTGCATATATATTAAGTGGTTACAATTTGGTTACCAAGAGTAATAATAATGGACACACTTTATTAACTTAGATTTATAATAATAATAATTTACAGCCATTATTTAATCCACTGCTGGATGAAGGCCTCCCCACGCCATGTCAGCCATGGGGAATTGTGAGAACTTCACCAGGCTGGTCAATGCGGGTTGGTGAAGAGGGGAGGCACAAAACCAGTACGATATACGCATCACTCGCCACTGACATTAGCCATAGCCGGGAATAAAAAAAAAACTCAGGTTACAGAGTTCACAGAGCAGTGCGTGAAATGTTGCACCACAGTTTCCCCAGTCCATCTCTGTAGCTTTCACCTCTCATTCAGGTCTGTAAAAAAACATTCATTCCTATTGCGGAGGTGATTCTACACACGGGAAAATAACTCTAATACACGAGTCACTTCATGTGCCCAGGTTATGAATTCCAAACTTTGCGTTAACGCCACAAATATGTGGATGTTGGAGTGTCATGCCCCACGGGAAACCGATTACTGGGTGAAACAATGCAACGCACCGGACATGAGAGTTTACAAAAAGGCAAGAACTGAAACTGTTTCTCGCAAAACTGGAAAAACCAGATTCCACCAAGTGCACCCTGGCATACGGTTTTTGCCCACCATTTGTCAGGGTCTATTGGCCACATTATACCAACCTCGATAAATCACCACGAGGGATAACATCTTCAGTGTTTCCCCTAGACAAACTACAGATAAAATAATACAACAGGCTATGTGTATCTACATCGTGGATATTTTCTCTCAGTTAAGCGAGCAGCGAAAATGAAAATCTACAATTTGACAGCATGTTGATGCATCATCCCTTCAGCCATTTGATAAATGTTTTATGGAAACTGAATACGGAATCCACTACTGGATGAAAGTTGCCCATGGGGTACACCACAACTGAGCAAGATGGTCAGAGCGTGTTGGTGAACACGGGAACCGAAGACCAATTCAGATATTACTGGACAACAATATTCGCCATGTACAGGAATCTTCCTCGGGTAACCATATCCATGAGGTATGCTAACCACTGTGCCACCACGCCACCCACTACAATATAACCGTAGAACTATAAACTATTTTTATTTTAACGAGTAAGACCCACCGATTAATTATTTGTCCCCTTTTTGAGAAGCAACCTGGCAACAAATGACAGCCCAACGAAGTGGCTCATCACGTGGAAATGTATCGCAGACAAATACTCTAAAGAGCGCGTTTCTAAATGTCGAGGGAAAAACCGGAGGACCAGGAGAAAAACCCACGTCACCACGGGGAGAACATTCAAACTCCAAATATACAGCAGGCATCAAGGGTTGGGATCGAGCCCAGGTGAGGCAGTTAACATCTCGCCATCACGGCAGCCCAATATTTTAATGAAAATATATTGCGCAACTCAAACGTCCATGTTGTCCAAGTTCTACATTCATACACTTCACTTACGTAGAAGTGAGTACAGATACAATGTTTGTGGGAGGGACACAAATGTGAGGCTATTGCTATCATGAATGTGAAAATTATCGTCTTGAATGACTTGGGACAAAGACCTCCTCTCCCCCAGTTTAACCTACAGAGGCTGTCATGCCAGTGCCTTTAGCAAGCACCTGTGAAGGCCAGCACGAATCGTGAAGGGGTGGCATGGATCGCACCACACCGGGCCACACTTGTCTCCCCAGTGCTGATAGTTTCACAGAACACACCAGGCACTCATTTAAGGCTGAGTCGACGTAGGGGAGGCACAGGACCGGTTTAGATATCACTCGGCCCCGATGCTAGCCATGGCCAGGAATCAAAACTCGGAATGCTGTGTTCGTAGGGCAAGTGCGATAACGCTCCGCCCACACACACACTCCGCCCACACACACACACACACTGACATTCACACACACAAACACACGCTCTCTCTCTCTGTACTTCAACCGTGCGAGATGAGCAAGTGGACGCACCAGCAGCTCGGCCGTGCTCAGCACATCGAGGGTGATGGACTGGATGCGGGAGACGTGCACACCCATCTCGCGATGAATCCCCGAGCATTCGATGCATGTCAAGATGCCAAGGTTGGTCGCCAGCCAGCTGGGATCTGTCAGGCAGTAAGCACAGTCGTGATCCCTTTGCCAAATGGGTTTGCAATTTAAATATGAGAACGTAGGTGACAGCATTACAGGGATGCGGCTCTCATACTTGAAGCATGCAAACAAGAGAACATCAAGAGCATGCCACGTGCACAGTTACAAAAAAACGTGTTCTTTTTGTCACTGCTAAATATTATATAATGCACTATCCCGCTAGGACATACGGTTCAGAAACATGGTCATAAATGAAACTGAAACGTGCACAAGAAAAAAAGTGGCGAGATGCAAAATTTAAATTACACCTATTCTTGGGATCTTTCGGGAAAGTCACTCGAAGAATATGAATTCCTGCAAGTCACGAAAGCTTTAAGTCAAGGTGAAATTAGACCGAGACAGAAAGAGGAACCACATGAAATAGAGGCCACACGGAGGTTAACGACATTATTCAAATTGTAAAAAAAGTAAGTGTACTTGGACACGGCACATCGCCAATAGGAATGATGGCCGATGGACAGGAATAAAGATAGAATGGCAGCTGAGGAATGGTATGTGTCCAAGGCTACATCCACCAAGGAGGAGTGATTAAATCAGCTCTCGTGCGCACATGCTAGTTGGATTAGTACATTGCAGGATCATGAGAAATGGCGACGGCTTGTGGAGGTGTGCATCCAGCAGTAGATTAATCACGGCTGATGTTGAATATACTGTACACATTTCGATTTAAAGCTTTCGTGACTGCAAGGATTCATCTTCTTTGGTTCTTTCGGTAAAGTCACCATGTAGAATGAGAATAAAATAATAAATTAACGCAATAAAATTCTCACGGCCGCTTGCGTCATGGCCGAAACGTCGTGAGAATTTTATTGTGTTATTTTATTATTTTATTGTCATTCGACGTGACTTTACTGAAAGAACCGAAGAAGATACTGTACACATCTTACACAGAAAAGGCGTACAGTTTTAAAATCAAAAACACCTAATCTGCGAATCACAGTGTGGTAAACCGAAAATGGCAATGACGTAGCAAAATATATCAAGATCCCACAAACGCCAAATACAAAACGAATTTTCGCAAACCTGTTCAGAAGAATATATATTTTTTCATGAGCACCAATGCGAAGCATTGCTAGGTGGACTTAATAATTAATGCATTTCTTCAGAAAAGCTTCGGAGAGTTCTAAGGCTTTCGGTAAAGTCACGTAGAAGGGAAACAAAAAAAATATAAAACAATAAAATTCTCACGACGTTTCGACTGCAACACAAGCAATCATCATCAGGTGTGAAAACCACAACAAGAAAATTTGAAGAAAAAAAATTATTGTGGTTTTCACACCTCATGATGATGACTGTGTTGCAGTCGAAACGTCGTGATAATTTTATTGTTTAATATTTTTATTATTTTATTGTTTCCCTTCTACGTGTATTTACCGAAAGAACCAAGAATATGAATCCCTGCAGTCACGAAAGCTTTAAATCAAAAGTTCTGAGGCTCTTTGGCACTGGAACATTTTCCCAATTCATTTAAATTCATGTTTACGACGCATGGTACACTCCAACAATAAACACACTGCCCCAAGTTACAGAACTTGCACGTCCTTATTTACAGAGCTCATTGTTGGGATTTTCATAGCGTTGGCTGAACTTTTTTAAGAGTAAACATGCGAGGGGTGGGAAAGGAGGAGGGGATTCTGAATAAGAACCAAAGTATATTCTGAATAAAATTGTATAGTCTTAAGCATGGGAATTGGCCAGTCATCATCATCACGATCCATGGGCAGATATCCCGTAGGTGTCCAATGCACATTTTGTCATGTGTATCCACTTTCCTGGCCAGAGTAGCTGGGAGAAATCCAAGAATATAAGGGAGAGATGCTCAAAGACCCGCATAGAGACGATGCTTGGCAACCCACTTGCTGTATTTTCTCCAGGTCCCGTCAGCAGGCCAGCAGGTTGGGGAGTTTCAGAAATGTTCACGATCCTTACCTCCTAGTGCTAGATTACAGGCATGCATCACCATGTCCAACTAATACATTAGTTAATAATAATCTTTACCTTCATACGGCGCTTTAATGCCTCGGCAATTTAAACCACCTTACATCCTCATCTCGAGGATGTAAGGGGATCATCGCTTGTGGCAGCTGTGCCTGTGTGGCACAAGGCGACTCAGCACTTACCTACAAGGGGGCATTAGTCTGCCGTGGGGGGGGGGGAGGGGTAATGATTCATCTGTGTAATCCCAATTGAGTAATTTACGGGCTATTTACCGATTTTGGCAAATTTGGACCATGACGCTGGCACACAGTGGCCTCCTGCTATTTGAAACGCCATCACGGGACCTTTAACGTCCAAGGTTAATCGGAGAAAAATTTGCCAATGAGAGAAGGATGGGGTGAGAGAACGAGGGTACAGAACAAAATGTCAACAGCACAGCAAGTGGCACAGCCGGGTACCTGCTACGGAGCAATCGCAGCACAAGTTGTTCCCGGGCATGCTCTGCACTTCCAGGATGATGTCGCTAGTCAGCTCCTGCACGCTGCTGATGTCCGCCCCATGCTCTCCCTTAAAGGCGTTGTTCATGGCCTCCTCTTTGCTGTTGGTCAGCACCGAGACCCAACTGTGAAGAAAACAGTTTAACCCAACATTTTAATCATGGACTGATGGCGAAGACTGAACCAGTCCGTGCATGTGAACGGTTTTGGATATACATATTTTAACAGGTCGAAAAACTGTGTTTACTCAATTAGGAAATAAAACTTTGCTGAAATGCATATTCTTGCATACATATATAGCTGATAAGCCTCGAATTGAGAACACGAATATATATGAGCCGTCAGGAAACCAACCCTAAACCGCAACGGCACAAACCATGGGAGCTGATGCGGGTACTTTATGATGCACAAATGGAAAATTAAATACCTTTCGGTGTGCAACTGTGGTCACCCAGAACAGACCACGGAACGGATAACGACTCAATACCCGATTCACACATACGGAGGCATCATCACAGCTATACACTCCGTGACTCCTGATGCAATTGTCTGGCTCTACCTCCTCAATGTAAAGTCATAATTGTGGAAGGAAACCATTTTACAGAAAGAACCATTTTGAGAATGGCCTATTATATATCTGCAAACTAGCATTAAGACTTTTAATCTTTTATATACGCTGCTTGCTCCACTTCACTAGAACAATCTCCCACTGCACATAAAACAATCAGGTTTTAAATTTTCGTGACTGCGAGGATCCATACTCTTTGGTTCTTTCGGTAAAGTCACGTAGGTAAACAATAAATAAATAATTTAATAAAGTGGAACTAAAATGAAAACAACTAAATTAAATCACTAGATAAATTTAGTTGCTTCCATTTTTGTTTTATTTAATTTCATTTGGTATTTATTTTTTACCTATGTGACTTTACCAAAAGAACCCAAGAGTATAAAACAATCACCTTCACAAACTTGGTTCAGATCCTCCTTTAAAACCCATCTCTTCTCCCTTGCTAATTTTACTCGTACTCCCTGCCTCCACCCCAACCTACAAGGGTTATCCCAACCCCTATCACTACCCCTATCGCTACCCCAACCCCTATCGCTACCCCAACCCCTATCACTACCCCAACCCCTATCACTACCCCTATCACTACTCCAACCCCTATCACTACCTCTATCACTACCCAACCCCTATCACTACCCCAACCCCTATCACTACCCCAACCCTATCACTACCCCAACCCCTATCACTACCCCTATCACTATCACTACCCCTATCACTACCCCAACCCCTATCACTACCCCTATCACTACCCCAACCCCTATCACTACCCCAACCCCTATCACTACCCCTATCACTACCCCAACCCCTATCACTACCCCTATCACTACCCCAACCCCTATCACTACCCCTATCACTATCCCAACCCCTATCACTACCCCAACCCCTATCACTACCCCAACCCCTATCACTACCCCAACCCCTATCACTACCCCTATCACTACCCCAACCCCTATCACTACCCCAACCCCTATCACTACCCCTATCACTACCCCAACCCCTATCACTACCCCTATCACTACCCCAACCCCTATCACTACCCCTGCTGCAACTCCCTGACCCTGGCCCCCAGCTATGACCACGCCTACCCCAAACCCTCCCCCACCTGTTCTCCTAGCTGTCACTTAAACTACATCACCACTTTTAATAACCCCACTCTTTATCTCAACCACTATCATCTTATGTACTATTTTATGATTGCTGTAAAGCACCTTGGAATAAGGCCCTTCATAAATCTATATATGTATTCACATATATATTTTTAAGTGGCACTATATTTAGTTACACTCCACCCACCCACCCACTTCACCAACCGGCACTGCCCAGTGTGGTCAAGTTATCGGGGTTACTTGTAAAGTGATAATTTCTCAAAAACCATTGTAAATCAATCTGTTTATATTTTGATAAACACTTTCGACAACACGAAACATTTTCCGAACGTGTAAGTGTGCAGGGTCATTTTGTTTCATCTTACACGGTGCATTCTCTTTCATCTTCCACTTGAAAATGGTATGTTCTGTTATCTGTGCGAAAAGACAACGTGTAAAAAAATATATATCACGAAAACACACCGAGTAACACCGTTTGCTTTTAAAAGCAACAGTGAACGAACGTCACAAGTCATGAAGCCATATACTGTGAGAAAATTGTCATCTTCATCACACTCACACGAGATCAAACTGAAACACTTGCGATCTTCCGCACTCGGCTTCACTTGACACGTCAGCAAGTTGAGCTTTGCTGGCTGCCGGTTGGCCTGCAAGGTACCAAACGGTACATTTCAATGTTCACTTTTATAAAAAAAAACATTTGGCTAGTTTTAACGTAAATAATATGGTCTTAATTCACCAATACAGTGAATTGTAACAATCGGTTTTACCCTCTGGCAATAAAACAGGTTGAATTGCATTACATTTCTAAGTTTACTAGGTTTGTTTACTCTTTCATTTGTACCTGATGATGATTGCTGGTGTTGCAATCAAAACGTTGTGCTATTATTTAATTTATTTTTCTTTCTACGTCACTTTACCGAAAGAACCAAAGAGTAATAAAACAGGTGTTAAGATGTTCAAACACCAAACAGAATGCTTTGTCAAGGAATCCTGTCTGCATTAATCACACGTACTTTGTGGTGAACATGCACACAAAAAAACATGCTCTGATAATATATTCATAGTCTTTGAAAGTGATTGGTCCACACCAGAGACAGCTTTCTTTTGAGCCTCGTCTCAAAGTGTTAGACCAGAGGACGCCAAAAAGGCGAACAGGATTCCTTAAAAAAGGATTATGTTTGATGTTTTAACATCTTAACACCTGTTTTATTGCCAGAAAGGGTAAAACCTAATGTTATATTTTCATACTGGCAAGAAAGGTCCCATATCACAGTGAATTGCACTCATATCTGTAGATGTATATGTATGCATTGTGTCCACAACACGATTATTCTTATCACCTGCACTTAGGCTGATAAGAAAACAAGAGTAAAGGCAAATTCATTGTACAATCCGAGCTTTATCAGTGGATTGTGTCCCAAACATCCAGGCTGTGACGAACATCATCCAAATTGGTGGCTTCGACTCATAAGAGTAAAATGCCAAATCCTTCCACTTTGTCAAGGGCTTCCCGCAACTCAGCAGAATGACCCAGAAATTGGTGACAGATTCTGTATTACTGCGCTTATTTGTGGGTTTGACCCAACCCAAATCAACACAAATTTGGTCTCCCAAATGCACGTCATGTATCATCTTATTAGAATCTTTATTTGTCCTGGAAAAATCCGGTTAGCTATGCAGCTCCTCTATCCAGTATAGAGGGGCGGGAACCAGAAAGTGGTGGAAAAGCTAATCGTATTTTCTAAGTTTATTCATGATTCATCGTGTGGCTATAAGGAGTAAAATGAATGGATAAGCACAAACCATAACATCCACCAATAGAGCTCCCACAGCAAAGAAAATAAGAGGAGTTTTATATCATGCAATATACATAATTCATATATAACTTCCCATCCAAGTGTATCACAACATATGGGGAAAACTACTCACCACTCCATGGTATATGAGCAAAAATCCATTTCTGACATCACATTTTCTTTTCTGCCACACTTTCCGTATTCTAGAGAGAAAAAAACATAAATGATACGAAGCAACGGCACAAAGTATATACATTTAACAGGATGCCTTCTAATTAAAACACATTTTTATCATTCCCAAGATACACTCAACAATACGCTAGTGTGGAATCACCAGCTAACATAGCGCAGTTGAGGCAGATAATGTTAATCCGCATTATAAACAGAATTCATTTTTAAGATGCGCATTACGTAAGAGGATGGAGCGATGGTACGGTTGTTCGTGTACGATACTATGATCCAGGCAACCCGAGCTCGATTCCCTAGCCACTGATAACATCAGACCAAGAGGGAGCGACGTAAAGAAAACGCAACAAACACCTCTGGAGCTGCCACCGCATTCACTTGCAATTGCTGTGCCAAGGATTGTCACTCAAGGATTGGCCTACTAAGTCATTCTAGGCGCTGCAAAACCCACAGCTGACCTCGTAAGGTGCAAAAAAAATGTCTTTCGAGACACACATGCCAATTGAGTGCTATCCATACCAGCTTTACCCCTCCCCCTTCAACAATCCACACTGATCAGCATTATAAAGCACGCTCAAAGAAAACCCCTGACCAACATGGCACGAGGAGGTCATCATCAAAACAGTGGTTTGTAAAATTATGATCGTGTTCCACAATGAACAATTACCCATCACTCTTCTTCAGAAGGTGTCCACTCTTTTCATTGCCATGAGTTTTGTTTCCCTGCAGCTGATGCAGGCTGTAGACCGCCTGCAGCTTGCCAGCATCCTGAGCAGAGGCAAATAGGACAGAGGAGGTCATTTGGGCAGTTTTTTTTGTAAAATGGTTTTCATATTACGTGAAACTTAAATCATTTACGGATGTGCTCTACATTTTAAGACCAATCTGATCAACAAAAAAATCATAGAATCAGCCACAGACGCAACATTTTGGAAGATCCAAATGATAAGTTTTAGTTCAGATTGACCTGAAAACCGGAAGAGATGTCACTATGATGTCACTTCTGCTGTATTCCTGCCAAACATTGTGTTACGTGGCAGAGTAATGTCACTTTTGTAATCACATATTCATATGACAATGTAAACTATCCGAAAACAATCCATCCTTTCCCTTAAAAATAAGAAAATTACGACGATTTTTTATCCGTAATTCATCTGTACTATCAATGCATATTACAATCAAATCTTTCAGAAGATTTAAAGATACTGTAAGCACCATATTTAGCTGGATCTAACAGTGAGCTGAAACGTACACCTTCACAGCTGACACGAACACTGTTGTTGAGATTACAAAGAAATTATTTCAAACCTCCTTGCTCTCCACTTGAAGAGAATCCTTCAACTTGTCCTTCATGGCACACAGCTTCTTACGCTCATCATCTTGTGCCTGCTTGATCTGGAACAGCAACAAGCGAACAATTTATGCAACAGCTGCGCATTCCACCAACACTGCTAATGAGCGTTTTTGAAATGAGCTCTTATAATAGGCATGGCCCTCAGCTCAGGCTGTGTGCTACTTCACCTGGCTGAGGAAATGCATGTCCTTTGTACTCAACAAAACTACTAAACGAAACTAATTTTAAAAAAAGTACAAGGTAAGGCCCACTGAGCTATAAAGCTCTTATTCAAAAGTCACCTGGCCACAAAATAATAGCTCAACCAAGGGGCTTATCAGGTGGAAATTTATAGCAGCCAAATACTCCACACACGTGTTTCTAAAAGTGGAGGGAAAAACCAGAGTACACGGAAAAAAATCCACGTGACTACAGGGAAAACAAGATCGAACTCATGATCTCCTTCGTGTTATTGTTGTATGATTACAACTAGCATAGTACATACGCCTTCAGGTTTCAAACTGCAAGGTGCTCATTTGAGGCTGAGTCGACCTAGGGGAGAGCCAGCACCGTTTCAGATAATCATCACTGGTGGTGGCCATGAATGGGAATCGAACACGGGTCGCCGAGTTCGTAGCGCAGTGCAATAGCCTTCGCTACCGGCTTCCCATTCACACCCCTCTTCACCGACACATAACTGACATGGCATGGGGAGGGCCTTTATCCAGCAGTGGATTCACATAGTGCTGTGCATAATAAATACACATTCTATACATGTATTATATAAATAAATTGGTAACATGGCAAAGGGTGATAGAATGTAATGGTTCAATGTGCAGAGACTCGGTTGTAAAAACACACCCACACGTTTATGCAACAACAACAAAATTGTGGTGAGGGAAGTTTTTTCACAGTGGGAGGTGGGGGTGGGGGGAGAGTTCCACTCCTAACTGAAAGTAAAAGTGACGTGCATTACAACTTCCATGTTTTGTTTTATGAGCGACTTACATTTGTTAGTTCTGCTGTGAGGTCTTCAACTGAGCCTTTCAGACTCTCAACTATTTTTAAACTGTCCTGGAAAAAACTGTCGACAACAAATCACATACTTCACACAAAGCTTAATACACGCATTCATGAGCGAGAAAAAAATGCGTCAAAACCAACAGTAATTGTGGGTATTCTATGTTTGGTAACATCTCCGTGTATATATATAGTGTATATGTGGAAAACTGCGCTTTAAAATGTAACCAATTCAAAAGGCACCTGGAATGAGTGTGGTAGAGTTTGATCAAATGCTGAAGAAAATCGGCCCCTTTCTTCGATTGAATCTCATTCACTTTGATCAGATACTGTGGGAAACAACATCACACAAATAAAGGATGCAAAATGACGCAGTTGTCAGTTGAAATCCACTTGATTCCTAAAACAATCGGGCAATAATCAACATCAGCATTCCCACGCATAAAGGCTGGGTTGCGCTCATCTCTAGTGGAGAGTTCTAAGCTAGTAGTGGCCATTCTATGTTCTTATGACAGGGACAAATGTATTCATGTGCAACAGTCACCATACCATCGGCCAGCCGCCTCATTGTCACTCTACCGTTGCTTCTATCATTGTGACTTGTTCCCATCAACTTCACTCGTTGATTCTTCCGACCATGCTGAAGATCCAATCTAGCAGACCGAATGCACTGTCTCACCTAAAATGTTCTACACCACCAGACCACAGAGGTCCAAATATAATCTCGAACTGCTCCAACTTTGGAATTCCCTCCGATCTTCTCTTTCACCCGAGTTATTAATCTTGCACAATTCAAGAAACATCCTACAACGAACTGTCTTTCGAAAGTGCCGTTCGTTGCTGGCTGCTTGGCAATTTAGGCCTTTCGACTCGTACTCCGATAAGCATGGTTGGCTACATACGGTGCGAAAGAAGTTCGCCATATATACTCAGCATCCGTGATTAAAAAACATTATAACCGGCGGACAAGTTCTGTTCAAAAAATTGTCCAGAGGGCAGAAATGACTCATGTGATAACAGCACGCATCCCCTTGGGCATGCAACTCAGCAGCCGTGGTCCCATTGCTCAACACAGTCTTGCGTCGCTGCCACTTTGTGGGTGGAGAATCCTTATCAGAGGTAGACACAGGACGCACCTCGCACATCTGCAACTGCACAGCTTTCCGCTCACGCTCCATGTCCTCTTCCTTCTCTGTTTTGGACCTTGGGGTGTGTCAGAACAAAAGAATACGTCACTCAGGGGCCACGATTTCAGGAGACCTCCATTTGTTTTTGAGCAGTTGAACGTATCGTAGGTATAGAAACTCGCATAACTCACATTTTGGTTTCATAGTCCTTCCACGTTTTGTCAAATGATTTTTTAAGGTCCTGTAAAAAATATACAGGGCATCGTTTTCAGTGTAAAGCATCTATCGTGAGGATGTTTATCTAGACTGGAAGAATCCGATGAGCTATGAAGCTCTCTTTCACAGATGTCGAGTGGGACAATACCACTGTGTATCAGGTTACATTCAAGATCACTCACCCCCTTGACTTCCTTCAAGTCACCTTTCAGCAGAGTATCCAAGGAGAACACGATAACATTGTTTACTTGTCGGTTCTGAAATCAAGATAAAAAAAATATACGAGTTTAACTTGGACTGAATAGCGATTTTGTATGCACGTAAATATTTGCATGTGAGCAAATCACCCGGAATTCAACCGATCTCATCAGATCTCGGAAGACAAGCAGGCTTGTGCTCTGGATAGCGTTTGGATGGGAGACTACCGTGCACTAGTTGTAGGCGTTGTGGGAAGAAGAGAGCAGTGTGATAAAAAACGAATGTTGTTCAGCACTCCAAACACCTCCACCAGCATGCACTGACCATGTTGGTGAAGTATGGTCACATTATCCCTCATGGCCCATAGGGTTCTCATCCAGCAGAGGATAATAAAAAAAAACAATGGGCTGTAAATAAACATTCGCTCGACAATGTGTCAACGTATATTTTCATTCCAAGTAATAGTTCCCCAAGCAAAAAACCGGAAGCGGTGTTTGATAATAAAACTGTTTCATTGTTACTGTACTACACCTGTGCACAGGGCAGCAACAGTCATCACAGCACCACGCGATATGTGATTATGCCATGTTTCATATTGGGCGTTTCCACATGAACTGCACTTGTGGTTCCACCCAGATTTTATTAAAATGTGCTCGGCGAGCAGTACCATGCTCTTCAGATGCGATGACAGCTCCTTTGTGTAGACGGAGAATTTGAGGAAAGCCGTGGCCAGGTGTGGTTCTTCCCTCTCCAAATAGTTGTTTCCAAACTTCTCCAGGTAATTTGAAAAGAGCTCCTCGTTTTCAACGTATGCTGAAAGGCAATACGCGCACGGCAAGGTTCACAACATATGAACCCATTTGGGTCTCTTTAATATAATGATTGTTAAGGTAGAACTGTACATTTGCATGATCCGGCCAGATGGCAACGTTGATAGATAGAGCGTGCTGCTCAAAGTAGGAACGTTTTGGGTTCAAATCCTGATCAGCCCTACATGCCTCTAGAGTCGTTCAAATTAGATACATTATAGTAGTTGTATGGTGAGATAGTGATTTAAAATCTCAGAATTATTATTAGTACTGTTTACATTTTTTTAAGTGGTTTTAATTCAAAGTAAATGAGGATTTTGCTTATTGAAACATTGCACCACAGTATTCATCAACATGGTCAAAACGTAAATCCTGAGTCGGCAGAGTGAGCGACACACAATCAGAAGATTGTGAGTTCAAATCCTGGTTGCAGGTTGACTAAAGCTAATCATTCCCGTGGGATACATAAAAGAGGGAACATATTTAGGAATGTGCAATTCTAACCACTGAATAAGAGATATAAACAGCAGACGAACTGTGTACCCCATGCTCAATTAAACAGGAAAACTATTTTAATTTGCGAATATTTCCCCATGCATACACATAATGGCGTGCATTTGGTTAGAGTAAATAGGTGTATAGCCTTACAACGCCAACGTATGTTCAGTCACGTGCACACTGCCAGTCAGTTGAATACCACCACGCACTAGTATACCAGTGGTATAGCAGTCATCTGTTTTGGAGATGTTTTAATTAACTAAGCTCTGATTAGAATTGTAATGAAGCAATCCTCTATAATTGTGTTGAGTACTTTGTCCTGAGGTGCACATGGTCTTGACGTATTTCTTCATCTTCTGCAAGCACCCACGATCAGTTTCCAGCGCCTGAGGAGACATTTGACATCAGGTTAGGGACCAATCAATCAATAAATCATCCCTCAAAAAGACAACAATTCCACTGCTGCTGTTTGCTCAAAATGGACATGATATCCCCAGTCACTGCCTTTTCGCAATAATGCGCACGTTTGCTCTAATTACGCTACGGACAACATTGTATTAACAAGCACGTGGCCTATGTTGGCAGATAATATGGGATTAATTAAACCCTCCAGGACTAAACAGGGAAGTGTGAAGGCTGAACAAAGGAGATTGCATGGCAGTGCCAGTCCCCGCATCACGTCTGAACTCATTCTGCTCGATTTTAGTTACCGGACGAGTGCAATACATGCGTGTGCGTTACCTGCTTCAGTTGTGCACGTACTGCAAGACGAGATAGATGTAGTTTTAGCATTTTTATTTTAAGCGTTATTGTTATTTTAAATGTAAAGTAAACTCGGAGAAATTATCCATCTTTTTCACGCGGGTTTTAGTTTGCTAACAACGAGCCCCCCACCAGCATTCAGATGAGACACAGCCTGCAGCATGGATATTGTGCAGGAGAAATGTCAAATATGCGTTGGGAATGTCAATGCCACGTTGCGATGAAAAAACACACCAGAATAAATAAATGCCTTACTAAAACACAAAACACACTAAAACACAACATGAAACAAATACCTTACTAACACGACGTTCGCTAGTCGTGGACATGTGATAATTATACGTATTCTGGCCTCAGTATCCTGGTGCGGGGGGAGCAGTGGTGTTGATTGGGGGGGCCATCATACCAAAAAGACTGAAACGACTGATTTAGTTACATTTAACATTAATATCAGTGAGAGAGCAGTGCAGTACTCTATTTTGTATCTATAGGCTGTTTGCATTCCGAAGAAAAACATTTCCACAAAATACATATTTTTTTAAAATTCATCATTTCAATCACAGAAGCTGCAGCAGCCAAACGGTGTTTTCACAGTTGCTCCCACAACAGCATTACACACAATTACGCAATGGACACACATCACAAGGATCATTTCCTTTCCAGTTAGAATGGACTTGTGGACAGTTTTTTTTCCCCCCAGTACGGTATGAAGGTCAGAATAAAAAAAAACTCACTGAGAACATGCCACACACAAGGTAACATTTTTGAAACATATATATACTTTGTGTATATACCAAGGCTGATGATTCTGCAGTAACCCATGCCAGCAAAGCACAACCAGTCTAAGCACATGCCTTTTGAGTCACCTAAGCTAGCGATGGCATATGAGACATGCAGTCACATGCCCTACACACCCTGCCATTATTTAGGGCCCCTGACACATTTTCTCAATCCCAGCCCTTCCGTGTGCAGCAAGTGAACCAAAACAGCACTCACTATCTCCCACGTGCCCTCTCTGTCAGTCGAACACGCCGAGGTGTGGAGCAAGGAAACAGTCTTGGTTAGGGCACAGATAAACCAGCACGACCCTCTGTAATCAGAGCGCATTGGCCCAGAGAGAGAGACATCGAGACAGTGTCCGTATGTGCGGTGGTGCAATTGCAAACGTGTTAGACACGCGCTCCCACGGCAGAAGCCTGCCTCAAAAGCTTTCCTAAAAACGAGATGCCGGAGGAATTTGGTCACCAAGATCGACCCACGCACAATGCTCAAGTGTGCAGATCTGAAACGACCGCAGTGTGTACATTCTCACACACACCCAATACATTCTCACACACACCCAATACATTCTCGCACACACCCAATACATTCTTGCACTTGCAGAAATTTCAGATTCCTTACCCAAAGTGGCAACTCAGAAGTTTCATGAACACCTTTGGCAGACAACACGTTGGTAATACACCCTATTTAGCGGTGACCACGATTTGAAGCGACGACACATTCAGATGCTTCATACGAGACGTTTAAGACAACGTATTTATGTTGCCGCTGCTCACTGCTATTTGCCACTATCAGACATCACTGCAGCTGATGCAGGAAAGCCAAACAGTAAACCCCCCCCTCAGCTTGACAATAAATATATTATGAACTTAACACGTTATGCAAAAACTGCAGTTTATATTTGCATACAACTCTCTCGCACCCTTCCGTCACTATCAAACTACGGCATGCATTACAAACAAAGTAGTTTCAACTGGACAGTACAGTATTACATTAGAGTTAGAGATCACACTATTAATCGTGGATTTACAGGATGGTCCAGGCGTCTTGTGACCCCAAATTAATTGACCCCTAACAAGTGTGTTTTTTCTTTGTAACATTAATTTATGTTTTAAATAAACCTCACTTTGAAAATATAAAGTTTTAGATAATTAAATTGGGGGTCACAGGCCATCTGGACCACCCTGTATATTTAATGGTGCAAAGATTAAAATCCAAGACTCTTTTTATGGTCAATTACTGTACTTGGGCCACTGGGATGATCAAGCAGATGACGTCGCCATGCTCCACCCATAACTTCCCACCCAGCGGCACACGTGGGAGCAGTCATGAGATTGATGAGATGAACTTTCCTAACTTTTTGGTGATGAGCAATTTGTCCAGTAGTCGATTCAATCATCGGTAGTGCAATTACTTAAATAATCACATAGCCCAGCTCTGAATTATAGTATAATTAACACGAGCCATGCCAAAGTTTACAAAAGTTATACAGTTGCGACGCTATGGTTGAAAATTGATTCATTGCTCTACCACTTGAGTTTACATGCAGAACAGTACTTGCAAAAGCAATGCGCTCTATTGCAGGGTAACAGGAATGAGAAATAGGAGATGCATGGCAGCATGAGCAAATGCATCAAATAAGACCCACAAGCTAAAATGAGGAGGTATATTTTGGGAAACCCAATCACTGCTCCAATATAGTGTTTTGGCTGTGACGTTCCTACGTGGAGTCAAACATTCCACAACTACCAAATTACTTTTTGATTTAAAGCTTTCGTGACTGCAGGCATTCATATTATTGGTTCTTTCGGTAAAGTCACGTAGAAGGGAAACAATAAAATAATAAAAATATAAAACAATAAAATTATCACGACGTTTGAACTGCAACACAAGCAATCATCATCAGGTGTGAAAACCACAACAAGAAAATTTGAAAAAATTGCCGTGTTTTTTTTTACGTTAGCACCACGGAGAGAGATTTGACAGTTTGTTCAGATGGACGAGTCCATCTATTTTCAGAAAAGAGTAGGAGGGAGACGAAAAATAATGGATGCGGTCTGAAAGCCACCTTAAGCGTGATCAATCAATTAAGACCCGAAATGGTTTATCAAATCCTTCCAATGATTGCTAAGCCAGAATCCATCTTCTCGGTTGAAATTGTCTCTGTGTTTGTATATGTGGATAGCCTCATGAACGAATCTCTCATGGCAGCCAGATGGCTTGCAAAGAACCTCTGTCTTGGAGAAGTCAATGTCATGTGAACCTACTGAATTATAACAGTGATCTGCCACGGCCGAGGTGTTGGTCCTACCGTGTTTCAGGTCTGCCTTGTGTTCACGAATGCGGTCCGAGACATGTCGTTGGTTTCTCCAATGTAACTACTACCACAGAGGCAACTTAGTTTGTAGACGCCAGGGTACTGTATGTCCGGAATCACATCTTTTACAGACGGAACCAGATCACAGATTTTATGATATGTGTTGAATCGGACCTGGATCTTGTGTTTATTCAAGATTTTGGAGATCTTTTTTGTGATCCCCGCAATGTAGGGTAAAGTGATGGTTTTGAAAGGATCCTCAAGAGGGTCCTTCTTCATGGTTGGAGTGATAGCTTTGCGGATTGTGTAGTCGGAATAACCATTAGCCTTAAGAGCTTGGTGTACGTGCTTGAGTTCACTGGCTATGTTCCTGGTCGGATATGCATTGGGCTCTATGGTGCGGAGTCTTGATAAGATAATTCTTCTGGGATGGATGATGGTGGGAATCCGGTTTTAGGTAAGCATTCGTATGGGTAGCTTTTCTGTAGACAGAGTGGCTCATTGAACCATCAGGTCTCTTTTTTATTAGGACATCCAAAAAAGGTAGCTTGCCATCTTTTTCGACTTCCATGGTAAATCTGATGGCTGGGTGTATGGAATTGATGTGGTCGAAGAATTGGTCTAGAGCAGGCCAGCCATGTGGCCAGATGACAAAAGTGTAATCCACGTACCTCTTCCATAAGGTTGGGCGCAGAGTGGCAGTCTGGATGGCGTCAGTCTCAAATTTCTCCATGAAAATGTTGGCTACAACCGGGGAAAGCTACCCATACGGATGCTTACCTGAAACCGGATTCCACCACCATCCATCCCAGAAGAATTCCCTCATCAAGACTCTCCACCATAGAGCCCAATGCATATCCTACCAGGAACATATAGCCAGTGAACTCAAGCACGTACACCAAGCTCTTAAGGCTAATGGTTATTCCGACTACACAATCTGCAAAGCTATCACTCCAACCATGAAGAAGGACCCTCTTGAGGATCCTTTCAAAACCATCACTTTACCCTACATTGCGGGGATCACAAAAACGATCTCCAAAATCTTGAAAAAACACAAGATCCAGGTCCGATTCAACACATTACATAAAATCCGTGATCTGGTTCCATTTGTAAAACATGTGATTCCGGACATACAGTAGCCTGGCATCTACAAACTAAGTTGCCTCTGTGGTAGTAGCTACATTGGAGAAACCAAACGACATGTCTCGGACCGCATTCGTGAACACAAAGCAGACCTAAAACACGGTAGGACCAACACCTCGGCCGTGGCAGATCAATGTTATAATTCAGTAGGTTCACATGACATTGACTTCTCCAAGACAGAGGTTCTTTGCAAGCCATCTGGCTACCATGAGAGATTCGTTCATGAGGCTATCCACAAATACAAAGACAGAGACAATTTCAACCGAGAAGATGGATTCTGGCTTAGCAATCATTGGAAGGATTTGATAAACCATTTCGGGTCTTAATTGATTGATCACGCTTAAGGTGGCTTTCAGACCGCATCCATTATTTTTCGTCTCCCCC